CATGATCGTCGCTCCGCATTAACACATGTATATTATTATCTTTCATAATAGACATCATCTTCTGTAATCAATTATATCAGTACCTGCTGAATGACTTTGCTCTTGTTCACCTTAGCTAAGGCTAAGAAGATACAATTTTAAAAATCTTTAGTTTATAATAATATTTTACAATTATTCCTCGAGCCCAAATGGGCTCTGAGTCAATAGACTCATCTGACTTTGACTCATCTGAATCTCACTCAGAGGCCAAGAGGGCGAGAAGAATAATTGTTTTAGTAAAATCGAACTAGTTGGTCAAAAATATCGGACAAACAACTTTTGGCTAGTTAATTAAAGCTAGATGTAAATCCTCTTTCGCCGCCAAAAATCCAGCGCTTTTCGCTACTAGTGGTCTACAACATATAGCCTAGTAGTAGCTCAACCAATCACAACGCTGCAATGATAATAGGCCACTAGCTGGATCTTACTAATCAATGATATGTTCATCGTGAAATTCAATATTTCCCCATCTCACAATAGTGAATACACACACCTTATTCGATGGTAAGGAGATTGTGCGAGTTGCGTAGTATTTTTCTGAGCCCCACAGGGGCGAGAAAAAATACGAGCAATGAGCAAAATGGCTGCTCGTATTATATGCTATACCATCAAATAAGAGGTTTACTATTCCACTACAAGAAAAAATAAAATTGTTATTTTGCGATAGGCTTCTATTTTTTTTGGAAAGAGTATTAAAAAACATCCTGATTCCCTCTGTGAGAATGACAATAACAATGAGGTAAATATTTGTGCATAATATATGCTAAACTATTGAATGAGAGGTTAATTATTCTACCTACTGCAAAAAAATGTTATTTTGGCTTCTATTTCCTGGTAAGAGTATCCAAAACATCCTCATTCTGTCTGTGCGAATGCTCCTTTTGCATCCACTGGTATTCGTCCTGTTGTAAACTGGTTAAACCAGGACACTACAGTGTATTACGGGATCATATTTTGCGTGTTCTCTTGACCTCCTATAGTAAAATGACATAACAGTAGAATAATAAAAGGTGTTTTTGAGCATTTATTGGGGATATTTTTGTCTTAATTTGGCTATTTTTGCAAAGTACAACATTTTCAATACAGTACAAACTAGCGACTAAGAACCTAGCTGAATTTGCCAGTTAGGTTCCCTCTATACAAGACCTGTTTATCCTGCATATATTTGAGCCAGTTCATATTTTCTTCAATCTACATAAGAAAATTCCATACACTTATATTTTAGAAAAATACCCAAATGTTTTTGCAAATAAATATTTTTGCAAGAATCTCTTCAAGCAAGGGAAATGCGGTTTCTTACACGCGAGTTTTTAATGTATTTTGACCGGTCCGAGTTAAAATTTGTTTGGCCTGTCAACATGACCTGCACTGTTCAAAAATCATTTCGAGCACTGGCTTAATGACCTCCTTATTTACATAATATTATTCTTGCACACTCGAAGTCAAGAGAGGAATCTACAAAATGGGAAAGCCTTAAAGGAATAGCTATTTCAATTCGAGAGGGAGAATAGCTCTTTCAGATTTTGTTAAAACACCCTAAATAAAATAAATAGAAGTGAACCCGAACACTCTGCATCAAATGAGCTCTTTACACAGGCATTGGAAAAACCAGGCAAAAGGCAGCGCAAAACATGTTCAAATTGAAGCTAAAGACCGCCGAGCATACAAAGAAGAAACAGTGACATCTCATACGGTGTATGACATTTGCAGACTGCGACCTCAGATTGCAGATTGTAAATTGAGAAACGGTCCAGATAAGAACGATAGCAACAACGGCAACGAACATGTTGGAATGCAAAAAAAGGTGCTAACTTTTCTATTGTCTGTACTTACTTCTGATTGGCTTAAACAGCAAAAGTTAACAAATCTTCATAAATCAGTACATATATTCATCCTTACTTTCCAACCATCTTCCATATAACAAAATCTGGTCTCAGTTTGAATAACAAAGAAATCCTATGTGGGGAACATGTAAAATTGTAAACTTTTCTTGGCTATTGTTTTCAACTCTTGCGATTGGTCAAAATCTTTTTACCCACAAAAACACCCTTTCAGAATGGAGTGTAACTGCATTTTATTGCGTGAACGGCCTTCATGTAGGTATATGCACTCCCTGGGTAAAAATGAGAACATTCCTATGTGGGGAAAGCACCGTTGCCGCATAACAAAAGAAATTGCTATCCACCTTACCCGGATCATTACTTAAAAGATACCAAAAATCTTCCTAATAAAGGTGACACCATCAAAAATATAACATCGTGTGAAAGTGAGAAAGTAGCCTGGGAACAAGGTTGATATTTTTGCGCAAAGTTACATTGGCCTCATTTCCAAGATGCTGTTGGCTGTTCTTCATCGACGCGACTCTTTATCGACTTATCCGGCATATCAATAATTGCGTTGATTCTTTATTCTTCTTTGATTATTGTGAATTGATAATGACAAGTAGCAATGCCCACTAATGCCTGTCTAAATAGTAGTCTTCTGTAAAAAAGAGTTTTTAGATTGCGAGCACTTCGTGCTCACTACAGTTACGTCGACAAAAACAACTAGGATAGATCACGGACATTTAACACCTTTTAAATGACGTATTTCATCTTAGCAGTATTTTAGGATATGCTAAATAATCTAAACCGAACAGATCCTACCTGGATCAGTCATACACCGCATCCCATAGACTTTAAAGAAAACATAACAACGCTTTCATAGGCCGTTAATTTAAGATCATCTAACACTGAGTAAATTTAAGTCCGGGATTTTAGCTTACATTAGCTTACAGGAATGACAAACAACAGTCATCAAGGCTGCTGCCTAACGGGCGCCCGGTCGCCAGAGGCGCCCAAGGTAAGAGCATGGGCGACCAAATTTCGGTACAAGGAGCCCGCGCGGGCGCCTGACTTAACACACGGCATTAGACTTAACCTCCTTGTACATTATATTCCTTTAGCTGGAGTAGGACTTTAAACAGTGGAACTGTTGATATGGTTAGCGATGATGCGATTAGGCAGTATAAAATTTCCACAAATAAACCGTAAATTATGTAAACCTAACGTGTTCAACTGTGAAGCTTTGTCGAAACGAACGAAGCCATCGTTTCCGAGTCCGGATGGCAGTTGAAGACTGGGTCTGAGATTTGACTTCCAAATATGGAATAGCAAAATTATGGGCTGTTTGTTGCCTATGTTGACATTCGTGCAGTTCATCGTTTGCTTGGGTTTTCGTCGATTTGATAACTTTTTTGTGGCGAGAATGGGAAGCTATCTTGCGTGCTATCGACTGGACGTGCTTGATGTTCGATTTCATGTACCAGTTTGCAACGTATCAGCATTTTCAAGAGACTTTAAAAACAACACGCCAGAGAACGCAGTATGATATTTCATATTTGTAATGTGATGTCTTTACCTTGAATAAAGAAATTAAAGTAATGATCAACTTTGTGTTGGTTGTATTTCTGCCTTGCTGCACGTGTAGCGCCCTTTCCCGCTAAAATCGGCAAAGGTTCTGCTTTTCCCGCTAAAATCGGCAAAGGTTCTTCTTTTCTCGCTAAAATCGACAAAGGTTTCAGCAATTTGTCTTAAGCCCAGTGACTACAATGGAATTCTCGCAACAGGTAAGCAATGTTTATTTCTTACGACTCCGTATGTGAACATTTATATTAATATAGATAACGATTTGGAAACTGTCTCTTTCAAAACAATAAAATATATTTCCCGCTTTTAAAACACAACCGAAGATGCTGTGCCTTCATTTGACCTATATTCAATGCGGTTTTATTTAATCCGTAGTGACAACTTGACATTCTTGACCTTCTAAACGAAATAGCAGATCAGCTAGGTAGCTGTCTGTGATTGCCTCGCAAATTCATGCAAATTTTCTTTGACTAATGAAATTTGAACCGCGTTTGTTTTGAGATCAAAGATACTGTAAGCTTGATATTTCACTTATAATAAAAACGGCTTCTTTTCGCGTACAGTTTCTACAGCTTCGATACACTGATGTTGAGTTTGGTTCTGGAACATGCTCACAGAAAAGTGCAGAAAGTTTAAGACAGTAGCGCTTGAAATGTAACAAATATCATTTTCGTGACACGGCTATTTTTGTCGTGGAAGGAAATTTGATCGGGGCAGATTTTGATCACGTGCTAGGTAACCAGTTCTGACGGCTCAGATGGAGAATCTCTCTTTTCCATAACCAAACCAGGAATTTACCTTCAAGATGACCATGCAACGATGAATGTCTTGTTTATTCATTCTCATCTTAGTTGAACATTAATTATAAGGAAATTTGGCAAAGTTAAATTTTGTTGCGGGAAAATACTCGGTTATAAGACGCACCCCGAGTTTTGAGAAAATTTTTATCGAGCAAGCACAAATTTTCGTAAACAAAGGTGCGTCTTATAAGTGAATAAATACGGTACTTCGGTTATCAATTGTTTTCTTCTGATACTGACTTGTAATTGGGCTATATTTTTATTCGCTTACAAATACAAAATCTTTCGGGGTTTGGCCGCGGGAATCTTTATTCCTTTAGTGACAGATATAAGATATTTTAAAATGAAATGCCACTTGATATCTTTATAGTAACGCTACACTGTGTATAACTGGTCTAGCCTCATTGAGGCCAAGGTCCTCAATAAAATATAACAAGTTTTGAACAGTTCACAGAGTGGGCCGGTTTTCTTTATATTTCAGGTTGCTGACTTAAAAGCTTTGAAAGAAGCCCTGATTAGCAATAACCAAGATTTGTGTTGCAAGTTAAGGGACAAATATTCGCGAAAATTAAACCTTAACCAGTCCTTCCCGAGATCTGATAAGCTAAAACAAGACCAACTGGCACAGTCCCTTATTCCGTGTGATGCACCAACTGGCCTTATTGCTCATGAAGTCGCTGGGGATGGAAATTGCCTGTACCACGCCATTTCTCTGGCCCTTGTGGGTACAACAGAATACTCTACTTGTCTTCGTATTCTGACAGCCATTGAGCTGTTTGAAAATACTGCCTACTATGGAAACCATCCGCGATTCCGGGAAGCTCTTCAATGTGGGTGTCCCTTTGGAGAAGTCACCGTTTTCACGCTCGCACTGAAAGAAAATGGAATAGCAGAGTGGGAGCACAGTGGCAACCGTGAGTCTGCTATCCAGAGTGAGGCAATTGGGGGATGTCAGCTAGGTGAATGGTCGTCGCTGATGCACATCATGGCACTTTCCACAGTGATTTCCAGGCCTGTCTTTACAATCTATCCAAGTTGTGCAGAAGCTATTCGCCCCCTCTTACATGGCTTAGTGAAACCACGTATTAACAGGCCAGACGTGTTTTCCAATAATGATTGCTTTCATATTCTGTGGTCAAGGGATGGTGGATTAGACAGCCGCCCAAATGCTATTTATGTTCCTAACCACTTTGTCCCCCTTTTTAAAAAGGAATATGCCGATCATGCAGTCAAAACTGCTAAAGACTACCGCAAAGTTGCTGACCAGTCCACTAAAAAAGCATCCCCCCCCCGAAAAGGTCGTTTAGTTTGGAAGACTTTTGGTTTCCAACAGAATGTAAAAAGAAAAAGAGAAATGAAGCAGGCATAAACAATAAAAGAATGAAAATGGGGGATGATGGGAAGACAGAAAGAAGACAGAGGACAAAATAAAGATGAAGGAAAAAATGCTGGTGGAGGAAGAATTAAAGATTCAGGATGACATGAAGATGGAAAAGGAATTGAAGATGCAGGATGAAACGAAGATGACAGATGAATTTAAGATGCAGGACGAAACAGATATGGAAGATGAGAGAAAAATGGAGGATGAGAGGAAAATGAAGGATGATCAGGGGAAGATGGATGCAAGAAAAATGGCTGCAGAAAAGAACATGGAGGGTGAAAGAAAGGTAAAGAGTGCAATGACGATGGATGATAAAAGGAAGATTGAGGTGAATAGGAAGATAGAAGAAGATGGAAAGGATGAATCGGATAGGACAAGGGAAAATCACGCTAATGCTATGGACAAACGTAAGGAATATGAACAAAAACGGACAAGGTCATTTCAGTGGAAGTGGCTTCAAGCCCATTCTTGGTTGCGTATAAACCTTGTAAGAAAAGGCACAATGCAGCCATTCATTACTAACACACCCTACCCAAATTCACAACCTGTTGGAACAGCAGTGAAATCAATGTACTGTGGTGTTTGCTCAAGCACCCTTCTTTAGCATCAAAGGACAGTGAAATAGCTAAGAGAAGTGGGTCAAGCAACTTCAAAAACGAAACATTAAAAAACATGAAACAAGCCAGAACCATAAAAATGTATTGCTGCGGACAAAGCCATAAATGATCCGAAAAAAACTGAAATGTACAAGTGCTGTAAGCAGTTATACGAAAAAAAGAAGACGAAAAAATGGAGAAGAAATTTAAAACAGCCTTCTACATTTCAGCATTAGAACAACCATTAGATGACTATGAAAGTCTCTGTGCGCTTCAAAAGTTAAATGGGGTGGAGCTGGGTGAAACTTACTTAACACGATCTGCATGTACTGAATTCATTGAGCACATAAGCTCTGTTATGAAGGAGGATCTCGCAGACAAATTGAAGGAATGTAACTTTTTCCCCCTAATGATTGATGGAAGTACAGATCATGGTGTCATTGAGGAAGCCATTATGTATGTGCGCTACTTGGAAAAGTCAGTTGGAAGACCGGTCACTGCATATCTTGGAATCGAAGAACCTAAGGCTGGAACTGGAAGAGGTTATTTAGATGCGGTTGATTCCTGTTTCCAAAGAGTAACCAACATGAATTCAGTCACCTGGAAGGAGAAAATTACAGGCCTGGGAACTGATGGCTGTGCGGCAATGACAGGTGAGAAGAACGGAGTGGTTGGTTTATTGAGGCAAGAAAATAGAGAATTTATGGGATTCTGGTGCGGAGCACACAAGCTTGAATTGGCAGTTGTCAAGTGCCTAGAAAAATACCCAGATTTTGTGAAAGTACGTGATGTCCTTCGCAGTTTATACCAGGAATATCACTACAGCGCCAAGGCCCTCAGGGAATTAAGAGAGTTAGCTGAAGCACTAGATAACCAGATCTCTAAGCCTACTAATGTGTTTGGAGCTAGATGGTTGCCACATCTTCAAACCGCACTCCAGGTACTGTTTCGGGGATATAAAACTCTCATGATGCATTGCCAGAACACAAGAGAGATGCGTGTAGGATCAAGTGGTAGACAGGGGCGAGCATCATTTTCGGTCAAGTTCTTAACCTCATTCAGAGGGTTGCTCTTTACCAGTTTTCTGTGGGACATTGCGGAGGAAGCAGCTCATTTAAGTAAGGTTTTTCAAGCTGAGTTTCTTACAGTTACAACCGCAGCGGCAGCAGTTCGAAAATTTGAATTACAGTGTCTTAATATGAAGTCGTTAAATGGTCCAAGACTTGAGGCGTTTTTGAAAGAAGCAGGGGATGGCAGTGTGTTCAGAGAAATTGAGATCAAAAGGAAGACAATGATATTGAACAATTTGAGAAGATCAGAAAGTCTGTTTTGGATGAAATTGGACAGAGCATGGGGAGCGATTCCATTACCTCTTTAACGACCCAGTTGTAAAGGCTTCTTCAGTTTTAGATCCAGACACGTGGCCTACAGATCCTGAAGAGTTAGCGTCTTATGGTTGTGATCAGCTCTGTGTAATCGCTAACAGGTACCAAGAGCAGTTGCAAAAAGCTGGTTTTAAAGCTGAGTCTGTCAGTAGTGAGTGGCAGGGAGTTAAGAGCCTTGTGAGTCTAATGAAGCACAAGACAACACCTGACATTTACTCTGTGTTGTTTTCTAAACAAGAAGAATTTCCTAACTTCCTTTTGATTGCCGAGATTGTGTTCACCTGGCCTTTGTCCACCGCAGCTTGTGAGCGAGGTTTCAGCTCCATGAACCGCACTAAAACTATTCAGCGTTCAAGTCTTGCAACTAGGACACTGGACAACAACTTGCGTATCTCAGTTAAGTACCACAGCCTGAACAAATCAGAGAGAGTCAAGGCCTTCGCTCAATCTGGGCACCTTGCCAATGCAGTCAAGCATTGGCGAGAAAACAGTGTCAGAGCCCGACGAGAGAACTGGGTGGACAAACATCCAGAGGCTAGAACCTGGAGTTCTCTTAAGGGGACAAAACCAAAAGACTGATGAACATTGCTCAATGCTGTGATTTAATTGTAAACTACACTGTGAATTCAAAGGATCTGTTTTGGACCCAAAATTGGGAGTTTTTCCTTGAGTAAAATACAGTACTATTTGAGGGGCTAATTAAGCTCTTCTAAAATGGAGCTGTTTTGGACAACTCCGAGCTGTTTTGGAGAACTTATAAGACTTAAAAAATGATCTTTTGAATTTACAATGTAGTTACATTGACATAAAATTCTTTTATAGCACAGAATCAGATAGGAAAATGTTATTCAATTTAAATGATTCCTCAAATGTTTAGCACTTCATTTAATGAGATCCATCCAGGCTAAGGTTTACATAAGGCACTTGATGTTCTGTTCTGTTTTTCCTGTTCATGTATAAAAAGGCAAGGAGAGGATTGGTCTACTTTAGAAAGTTTTGGAAGACTAGTTAAGTTGTCATGTGGAACACAACTGTTACTGAACAAATGTGAAAGTCAAGTAAATAATTCTGAGTTGAAATTACCTACTGTTATGTTATTCTTTTATTGTGAAAATTGTGAAAATTCCTTTTACACGCAAATTAAGCCCCTCAAATATTTTTCCGGCTCATGAATGTGTATAAGAAAGGTAAGAAGCAGTTTAATTGTTACATTTTAGAAAATTCTTTGAAGGCTCTTCTAGGTCACATTGAACACAACAGATGTGGAAGTTAATTGAATAAATTAATAAATGAAAGTAAATAATTCGGTTAATTCTTGTTTACGTGTTATTTATTAGGCCCGGCGAATTCTTATTAAAGTGTGCAAGAACCTCTATAACCTATGTAATGATCTTGGAAAAACAATACATGGATTTCAAACTGGGCTCCTAACAATGTGGCTCGGGCTCCTAACTTTAAACTTTAGGAGCCCGAAGGGCTCCCTAAAATTTTTCTTAGGCAGCAGCCTTGGTCATAAAGAGGAGTTTACATTCATTCAGTGATTCATTGCACGGTGGCAATGGTTGTACTTTTCGATGAAATTACATAACTTGCACATTCAAGATTACCCTATTTTCCGCCCCAGAAAGAACGAAAATACATCGTGGAGCTCTTTAAGCTTATCTCGTTCAAGTGAAATTAAATTTCATCACTGCGTGACAAATGACGTGTGGTATGGTCATAAAAGCTGATGCAATCACGAAGAAGTTATTCATTAAACAAACAAAACTACAACTAACGTGCCTCCGTATAAGCGCCCTGACACTGAAAAAATTTAAGTCCGGGATTCAAGCTTACATAAGCTTACAGGAATGACAAACAACTGTCACAAGAGGAGTTTACATTAATTCATTCAGCGATTCATTGCACGGTCGGATAGGACAGAAAAAAATAACAATGCCGAAACTTTTCGATGGAATTACACAACTTGCACATTTAAGATAACCTTATTTTCAACATCAGAGAGAACGAAATAAATCGAGGAGCACTTTAAGCTTAAACTCTATCTCATTCAAGTAAAATTACATTTCAACAATTGACGCGTGGTTGACGCGTGGTTGGTCCTGATGCAATCACGAAGAGGCTATTGATTAAACAAACAAAGCTACAACTGACGTTCCACGGTAAGCTTTTTTGAAAAAAGTGATTTCGCAAAAGCCACAACGCCTTGCATCCGATACATATTTACAGTAAGCTAACCTCGGCAAAAAGCAAGCTTAAATTTGAAGATTGCCACTTACCTTCTCCTTCCCGTTCGTCTTCGTTCAGTCGACGCCTTTTTTGCTTTGCTGCTTCTCGCTCCGTTCTTCGCCGCTCGTCGCTAATTCGGCGTCTATTTTTTCTTGCTCTCTCTCGTTCATTCTCCAGTTGCTCTTCAGTGAAATTTTGTCGCCGTCCCCTTTCTCTTTCTTGCTCTTTCCCTCGTTCATCGTCACCAAAATTTTGCCTCCTTTCCCTGTTTCTTTCTTGCTCTCTCTCGCGTTGCTCATCAGTAAAATTGCGCCTCCTTTCTCTATCCCTCTCCCGCTGCTCGTCAGTAAAATTTTGCCTCCTTTCTCTGGCTCTCTGCCGCTCTCGCTCTCGTTGAGCTTGGCTTGCTTGCCGCCTACTTCGTCGTTTTCTTTACCTCTCTCTATCTCTATATTCCAAACTAGAGGACATAGTTGATAAAATATGTAGAAAATACGGATGTAAAAACAATTTCCGTCAACCGATACGAAAAATTTCTTCTTGTTCTGAGTTCATTTCGCTGGACTAAGTTGTTTTTACTTCACAAAACGCGGGTGGCCATTCGCTTTCGCGCCAAAACAAAACTTATTATGCACACAGACTACCCAAAATTCATTGGTATGCCTGCGGTGCGGACGGACGGCGGGCGGTCGGTGTACGGTCACGTGATTACCAAATTTTCTGGGATTGGTAGATTACCTTAGCTATGGGGCTCCGCCCACGCGCGCGCGAAGCGCGCGCGTGGAGCTTCGCTATGAAAGTGGTTCCATACAGTGCCAATACCTGCGGTCAATACCTGCCAAAGAGAAAGAGAAAGTCACTGACTTCTATGTATCAAGTTTACAAATCTGAGCTACCAGATAACATAATTAGGCTTTTTAGTGGAAGCAATTGCTGTTATGATCTACGCAATAGCATTAAGTTTGAGGTTCCCCGCTTTAACCTAGAGGTGGGCAGGAATTCATTAAGATATAGGGGAGCTTTGTTCTGGAACTCCATTCCAGACAATTTAAAAAGAGCACCAAATGTAAACAATTATAAAAGCTTCTTAAGAAAAACAGACCCTTGTTCGACAATATAAATTTCAACAAGATGAAATAGTATTTTAATTGTTCTTAACTTTTAGCCTTTCATCTTACTACTGTATATTTATTCTTTTTATATACCTATTTTGTGTACATTTTTTATTTTCTTTGTATATCATCAATAGATAGTTTATCAGCAGGTCCACATCAGCTTTAGCTGCTTTTTAACTTAACCTGCTTTACCAAATAGACTATGAATGAATGAAAATTTGAGCATAAACTACGTCGCCATAAACAAATATTTGGAAAAATTGCCACCACAGTTGCATTAGATAAAGACGAAATTTGTTGTGATCAGGGTTGCAATGACATCCGAGTTGTCATAGCAACGAAATGGTGCCATTACCTATCATACTTGCAGCAATATTTCTCACTGGAAACGGTTCTTCCAAAATCGTTCACGGGAGCTTTTTCCTCCAATAGTCGCCTCGATGTTCGTGAAGTTAAACGGAAAGAGCGTTATCGAGATATTCTGGGATAAAAGTTCAGGCCAGGTAAACTTCTCAGTACGGAAATCAAAAGACGGATAGTTGATTTGTATTTGAGCGGAGACGGACCGAGGCAATTCATACTCATTGCGGAGTGTGTTGCATCATTTGTCATTATCAAAAGACTGTCTCGTGTAAATGTATCTAACTGGGTTATTATGCCGACTTCAGGTTAAAATAGAAGATATTTATGCCTTCAAAATAACAATACAAAAAACATGGAAACATCTTTAAAAACTGGCTTTGCCCAAATTTTCTCTTGCTGCCCAACAAATCTGAGTTGCCCAAAATTTGTGTGTGTATGTGTGTGTGTGTGTGTGTGTGTGTGTGTGTGTGTGTGTGTGTGTGGGGGGGGGGGGGGGGGCTGCAGCCCCCCTCGCCCCCCCGGCCAGTACGCGTATGACCATAAGGCCATTTTATCTGAAGAGTGCTGCACCAATTGTATAGTACGCAACTATATAATGTAATGAAATGGCTAGTCTTACCTTCAGT